TTTAGAAGCTGTCATTTAGTTGATTTTCCATGTTGCAGTCATTCAAAACTTCATTTAAGGCTCATGAATGAAGTTAAGCAAGCTGAAGATAGTATTAGACTTCAAAGAATGTCTCAGCATTCAAGATCTGCACATTGGATCTTGAATAACAGGGCTGTCAAAAGTGTTGAGAGCTTTATCACGGTTATAATGCACTCTGTTGTAAAAAGAAGAAACGTTTGGAGTCATGTGGAGATGGTATATATCCATGCTGACAGCTCCCCTGTGGAGACTCTCTGTATGCTATGAGGGTATGAGAGGAAGGTTCAGCAGGGAATCTGCCTTTTGTTTATGTTTGTTTATGATCTTGAAGCGTAAGTGAAGTATTTCTGCTGATGTACCAGTAACTGAGACTGCATCTGAAGAAACACCTGTTATAACACGTGACAGTGGAAAGGTTGTAGACATTACCTGTCAAAGTGAACAGCATAATCCAAACCAGCTCATCATTTGCTGAATAGTTGTTGCCAAGCTAGCCCTTTATGCAGTGTTTTTGTTTGTTTATTTGTTACTTGATATTTTTACTGTATGACAAGCCTACGGAATGTGTTGCTGCCAGGTAATTGCTTGTAAAATACTTGTCAAGGGAGATATCTGCCATGGCTAGCAGATAACCTTTCAGAAGTGCAAGCTTGCCATCTGTTTACCTTGGCAGTTTTACATATGAAAACCGAAGCTCTTTTTTTAACTCGCTCTGCTAAATTCCATTAAGGAAAGTAAAATTTATTAAGTCTTTATTTACTCATTTATGTTGGAACAAACTCAAATGCTCTTAAGTTTTTCTGTGGAACAAACAAAAAGGAATTTTTAAAGAGTCAAAACATTGATCATAGAATGAGAGTTCTTAGTAAACTCAGGCTGTCAAGATCCAAAAAAGGACTTAAAAATAAATAAATAAATCATACACGCAGTCCATATGACTCGTGTGTCATATTTCTTAAAGACATAATTCACCAAAAATGAAAATTTGCTGAAAATGTACTCACCCTCAGGCCATCCAAGATGTAGATTTGTCTCTCCATCAGAACAGATTTAGAAAAATTTAGGATTACATGACTTGCTCACTAATAGAACCTTTGCAGTGAATGGGTGCCGTCAGAATGAGAGTCATAACAGCTGATATAAACATCAAAATAATCCACAAGTAATCAACACCTCTCTAGTCTATCAATTAATGTCTTGTCAAGTGAAAATCTGTGCTTGCAATAAACAAAGTCCATCATTAAGATGTTTTTAACTTCAAATTGTTGCTTCCAGCTAAATACAAGTCCTCTATAATATTGGTTCCTACAGTGAAGAAGTCGTCTGAATCAGGAGAGACATATGTACAGACCATGCGCCGTTTACTAGCATAAACAGTCCAAAACAGTTCTAAACAAATATGTCAGTGGATTCTGCTGTTGAGAGGACAACAGTGACTGAAATCTTTCACTGAAGAAAGCATTATTATGGATTGTGGACCAAAATTGACGTTTCAAGTTAAAATGCCTTCTTACACACATTTTCACTTCGGAAGACATTAATTGATGGACTGGAGTGGTGTGGATTATTGTGATGTTTTTATCAGCTGTTTGGAATTTCATTCTGACGGCACCCATTCGCTTCAGAGGCTTCACTGGTGAACATGCTGATGTAATGCTAAATTTCTCCAAATCTGTTCTGATCAAGAAACAAACTCATCTACATCTTGGATGGCCTGAGGGTCAGTACATTTTCAGCAAAAAATTAAAATAACAGCTTACAGGTTTGGAATGACATGAGGGTGTGTAAATAATTGCAGAATCTTAACTTTATGAACTATCCCTTTTGAGTACTGGTTAATTTTGATCTCTTAGTTTAAGTAATGTTATTATGAGAATTTTCCAAGGCATTAATTTATTCTTCACCACACAAATACCTGAATATCTAAACACTGAGGTTTTCATCTGTTGGTGGGTTTTATGTGGCCAAATAGGGGGATCTGAGCCATGATAGAGGTGATCACAGTCCCATAATTCTGCCAAAGCAAATGAATAAATCTGAGCCAGAGGGGATTGTGTGGCAAAAATTGGGGGATTTCTTTGTAGTTTCCAAAAAGCAATGTTCAATAATCCGCCTGGTTTCTCAGTCCTGCTTCCACCCTCCAAAAAGCTATTGATGCATGAAACATTTAGACTTCCGTTGCTTTAACAAGCAGGATACTGTATAGAAATGTTGTAGAAAGCAGAGGGCTATTAGACGAACATTGTCAGATCGGTGGACAGCATCCCGCTTTATGATTACAGCTGTTGTCGCAGGGAATTCCTCAAATTCTCATTCAGTCTCACCAGCAGTGGAGGAGACTGCATGTACCGGTGGAGTCTGTCACAGGAGCGCTGCTTACCCGCCGCCCCATTAGCTCCACTGTGTGGCTGTTCTCTTGAGACTGACACTTCACTGAGTACAGAGAGAGGGTTTCAGCACTAACTGTATTCCCAGCATGTCCCAGCAGCCGTTAGGAATACCAAGTTTGTACATCTTTCTCACGTGTCTAGCTTAGATAATACCTGTTTTAGACTTTGAGTTTTTTTTTCTTTTTCTTGGTGTTCCTTTCATATTTACTGTATGCATGATACATAGCCATTTGAGATTAAGTTCCCTGATGTGTGGTGCAGTATTTACAAACCCGATTCCAAAAAAGTTGGGACACTGTACAAATTGTGAATAAAAACAGAATGCAATGATGTGGAAGTTTCAAATTTCAATATTTTATTCAGAATACAACATAGATGACATATCAAATGTTTAAACTGAGAAAATGTATCATTTTAAGGGAAAAATAAGTTGATTTTAAATTTCATGGCATCAACACATCTCAAAAAAGTTGGGACAAGGCCATGTTTACCACTGTGTGTCATCCCGTTATTCCATTCCTTTTTTACTCACAATTTGTACAGTGTCCCAACTTTTTTGGAATCGGGTTTGTACAAATGAAACAGTATTTAGCAGGGCATAGTGTAGTTTAATGGGTGTTAATGGGTGAAACACAGAAAATTGAGTCATATTTCACCTCAAAACCAAAAATAATGAGAATCTAATGAGAATGTCCATAGAGAATAATGAAAATACAGAAAAGTAAATATGTGGATGTATTACAAAAATGAGAATTAATAATGAGAACTGCAAAAAAAAAAAAAAAAAAAAAAAT